ATTACAACATTTAGTAGGGCACCGTAACACGGAAACCTTTTCTTCTTTTATATATGTTAATGTTAATGTTAATAATAAATCAAAACAAATAATTTGAGCAAAAAATAATATAATGAATAATAGTAATTTGAATAAAGCAAATAAAGCAAATAAAATGAATAAACAAATAAACAAATAAAATAAATAATTTGAATTTGTATTACTATTACTATTACTATTACTATTACTATTACTATTGCGAATAGAAACTATACATAAATAAATAAAAAAATAGCTTTTGTTGTGAAATAATTAATTTTGTTCCTTTGGTGTTAATGATCAAATCGATCACATAAGTAGTAGTCAATTTAAACAGCATTGTTTTTAAAGAAAATATTAAATATATAAAGTTTAATTTTCATCTATTCTTAATTTAACGTTAACATAGTAATAGTAACATAAATATTTGTGTAATCATCATACTCTAAAAAAATTTATTAAGGAAATAGTAATGGTGAACAAATGTAAAGAGAATAAATGATATAAAAAGATAAATAAAGAATGAAACAGATGACAAATTTAATTATAATTGTAAATAGTAGGTTAAATATTCCATAGACAAATAAATAAATAAACGAAATGGAATGAACGAAAAATAATAATAATATTATTTTTTTTACGCAATTTGTTCATTACCTTCACCAAATTTTCTTAAAAATTATAAAATTATTAATACTAAAAGGTTAAAATGTCTTTTCAAAAATTATTGACAGTAGACAGAAAGAAATTGGTATTTAAAATTTATAATGAAATGTATAATAATGCCTATTCTGCCTTTTCAATTGACCAAAAACAATAGTAAAGATTTTTTTTTACAATTAGTCAAAAAAAACAAAAACCTTTTAGAAAATGAAAAAAAATATTGTAGAGAGCAGTTTAGCTATTATTTTGAATTAGGAAATGCGATTCATAAATTAGGAAAACCAAGAGAATGTAAAAATTGTGGAACAACAAGACATTCTGATAAATTTTGTGAAGAGTGTATTAGTTTACACTTGCAGAATCTCTTTAACACTTGGACATCTGGAAATGAAATAATTGATGATTTTATTCAACAATGTCAAATGAAATCATCTCTGCCAAACCATATTTTAGAATGGGTACCTTTTGAGCAATTTGATGATATAACAAAGTTGACAGAAGGTGGATTCAGTTCAATTTATACTGTTACATGGACAAGAGGAACTATTATTGATTATGATGAAAATAAAAAGGAATTTAGTTACTATGGTATTCATAATGTAGTATTAAAAAGTTTAAATGATTCAAGTAATCCAGGAAAGTCTTTTTTTGATGAGGTAGGTAATCAATCTTATTTAAATTAAATAAACTATTTATTTTAAATTAATTGATTTTATTTTTATTTATATAATTAATTACAGGTATTAAATTATTGTAAAATTAAATCAAGTTTAATTATTCCTTGTTATGGTATAACTAAATTCCCAGAAAATGGAAATTATGCAATGGTTCTAGATTATGCACCAGAAGGAAATTTAAGAGATTATTTACAAACAAACCATTCAAATTTAACATTAAAAGGTAGAATTAATATTTTTAGCTATTTATGTGATGCATTAAATCAAATACATAGAGATGATTTAATTCATTGTGATCTACACAGTGGTAATATATTAATAGAAGGAGACAGTAGTTATATTACAGATTTGGGGTTATGTGGACCAGTTGATGAGAAATCATCAAATAAAATTTATGGAATTGTATCATATCTTGCACCAGAGCTATTTAGAGGAAGAAAGAATACAAAGGAAACAGATGTTTATAGTATTGGAATGTTAATGTGGGAAATATTTGCAGGCCATCCACCATTTGATGATAGAGCTCACAATCATCACTTAATGGTAGATATATGTGAAGGCTTACGACCACCAATATTACCAGGAATGCCTGATGATTATGCACAAATAATGCAAAGGTGTTGGGATATGGATCCAACCAAGAGACCAACTGCTCAAGAGCTTGATAAATTTGCTATTAATAAATCACAAGAAATTTACAAAAATAGAAGTTATATTGGTGGTGGTGATGGTAATAATAGTGGTTGTAGCAGTAGTAGTAATAAAAATAATCGTAATGATAATGGTAATTCACAACAAATTTATAAATCACATCCATTAGCATACCATAAAAGTAGAATGTTAAATGATGAAATTGCTAAATTAAATTTAAGTAATGATAGCCTATTAAATTATGAAATATAAATTTAATTAATTGAAGTTTATTATTAATTAAAAACAATAATAAAGGATAAAAAAATAGTTGAAAGGAAGGTTAAAATTTTAAAAGTTGATGGATAAATTTTTATTTATATTATTTAAAATAAAAAGAAATGAAAAATTATACAAAGTGACCCATCATCTGACTTTAAATAATTTCACAGATAATAAAATTTATAACTGTGAAGTAATTCGGAAGTATCTTACTTTAAAGTAGAGCATGGTCTTGATTATACATGGGATGGTTATTATTTTGCCAAAAACGTAATACGTAATTACGAAATTACGAAATCAATTACGGGTGACGAAATTAATTACGTGTGATGAAATCAATCACGAATGACGAAATTAAATGACACCTATTATCTATCTCGTTATACTAGTATAATGACATAATTTGTCAACTTTTTTTAGAATTATAGAATTTATTCTGTTATAACGACA